ATGACAATGCACAAAGCAGCATTATTCGTACGTTGTTATCTCAATCAAAACAACGAAAATTGTATCAATTTATTTCGTCACTACAATGACTTTTTGGTGCCCAATCCCCGCCCAAACCAAAATAATGCACAAAATATATCTTTAGAGCATGAACACAAATTCAATACAGCGAGAGAGAAGAATGAAAAAAGAAGATACAGCGATGATAAAGAGAGCGCAGTGAAAGAAGAGAAGAAATTCCAAGACACTTATACATGCACTTTTTACACATACCAAGGAAACTTAATAATACGGTCGTAGTTTTGACCAGGTATTAACAAGCGACAGATCGCGAAGTGAATAGGACCATAGCTGGCTTGCACAAATTTAAGGCGCATTACATTTCCTAGACAGTACACGAGATGCGCAATCGTATACAGAACAATACAGACAAGTCATGTTTGAAGCGAGAGTAGGTAAGCGTGCATCTTTTTTTAAAAACTGTTGAACGAATCCTTCCTCAGCAACGCATCACATCCGATACTAACGACAGGTCCTGACCTGTCCCAATCCAGATGCTGCAGTACAAGATTGTTAGCCAGATGCAATATACTCGCTTGCATAGTTGCATCTTAGAGCTCTTCATTTGGCAGCAAAGAAGCATTATAAGTGTTTCGGCTCTCACCGGAGACTGAGACTGGCTCTTCAAACGCCAGAAGACATCGCATTGAAATATCGCATAACTACAAAACTTTCTACACAGTTCAGCCCCGTTTCACTGAAAGCTCCATCACGCCACACAATGCTGGTCTTGTCGCAACCTTACCATTGCCTACAGTTAACGGCATAGGCTTTTTTTTTTGGGGGGGGGGGGGGGGGGGCAGCGAAGTACACGCAAGCGTTATTTTAACAGGCGCGTTTGTATGTGTGCCTGTACACTCATATACACTCGCAAAATTGAAAAATCTCGAAGTACCCTTTCTGCCAATGCCTGCAGTACCAAGGCATCTGCGCCTCCACAGCAACACCAGCTTTGAAGTACCTGCAACAGTTTTGTTTATTACAACTTTTAAACAAGTAGATCTGAATTCACAAGTACACACCCTCGGATATAACCGGACTGCATGAATAGAACAGTCCTCCAGAAACGAAGCGATACAGCAGCACGGAGTAATCACACTGAAGTTCTATTGGAGACCAGGTGGTATAGCTCATGCAGTGGTAGCCTGTAGCTTTTTTTTATTAAACTATCTTGCCCTTGAGAGTGATGCAGTTTACACAGCTTTGATCACGCAGTGCATGATCATTAAGCAAGTGAAAGTACAGTTTTAGACAACAGGAATAGTGGCAGCACATCTATTCCGCAGTGTAGGGATAGAGACAAAGCAGTCCTGCACAATTCAGCACAGTGGGGTGTACATGCAGTTGAGGCGAGCGAGTGCTGAAAGTATTCCTGGCAACCGACACCTTGATAAGAAGTAACGTTGAAGCCAGCTCTGCGTGAACACTGGTCCTGAACTTGCTTTCCTTTCTGTCGCACGTAGGAAGTAGACGTGTCGGAACTAACACTTGAGGTATCCGAATGCCTAAACCTGGAAATATGTGCAATTGTTACTCATCCGATGCGAATCAGTGCACTAAGAGGAGAGTTTTTAATACTTACAGGAAATGACGAGACTGGAAGACCGATACCGTGGGAATACCGATACCGAAGCAACAAAATATCCTCTGGTCCAGGTGTTCCAGACGACTGGGAGCACTCACACGGGGAATTTAGGCTGTGATGGTGAGTTCTGTAGGGGGAGAAAGGGGCGGCATTTATTAGGGTGATAATTATCACTAATATCACTTGAAATAAGCTGAATATATGCGACTCAGCACAGCTAGTACAAAACATACCAGCATCACAAATTAGATGAAGTAAGACCTACCTTTGTGCTTTGTAGAGGGCCGTCTAGGTTCTTAGACACGAGTCCACGCAGTCCATTGTGAAAATTAGGATCTGTAGGGGCGAGAAAGTGAAATTAGTCGCGAAATTTTTATTAAAGTTGTGAGTGAACAAGCCAGAACAATGTCAAGGCAGTTAACCAGACTGATTATAAAGCCACAACCGTGGTGGCCTGACTGACTGAAACAACGAAGAGTAAACAAGAACACGAGTGAACTCAACAGGATAAGAAACTTGAAAAAAAAGATGGATATTAAAATGTAAAATCATAGTAAGCAAGAGATTAAGGCATTGCAGTAAGCCCAGTACCGAGATAGCTTGACGAAACTCGTCGCAGACGACGGAAAGCTTGCGAAGTTAAAGAAGCCCTGCATGACGAGTGAAGTGAAAAAAAAATGGGTACTGCAAAGTCCGACAGTGCTCTCCAATCGCTGCATATTTCAGAACGTATAGGAAACAGCTTTTAGTTGGTAGCGTATCCATAAGCTAGAGGAGCATGACAAGTTTTTGAATTTCTTCACTTAAGCACCCCCACGAAACTGGCAAGTCGCATCATTGTGGTGTTGACGCCAGATTGAAGCATGACAATGACGCCATAAGCTTAAAGACGTTAGCTATATGGGTTGAATGGGTAGTACGTAACACTGACCATAATAGCAAAAGAGTGAAAAGAATTCGAAGACTTAAACGATAGATGAGTGTGGTCCCTGAATGAAGGTGAAGAGGGCTTTAGAAAACAATATAAACCACACCTCAAAAGCATTTTCGTAACTTGATTAGGAAAATGGAAACTTGATTAGGAAATGGTAACTTGATTGACCTATGGAAAATTGATAAGCAGCAATAACGCAGAACCATTTTTAGTAGATCACAGTTTATTCGAAATATCGCCACAAATGACCATATGCATGGAAGGCATGATAAAAACGCCAGGCCTGTGCGGAAGGCACAGCACAGACGCAGTGAAAGCTAGAAGAGAAGCCTTTCTTAGCCTTTTCAAAACATTTATTGGGTGACTACTGTAAGCACGCTTGCTTGATAACCATTATGGCCTCAAAATATTTGTTTTAGGATAGTAGGCCGGCATTCGTTATGCCATTTTTCGTCATCTTGAGAAGCGTGGTATCCGCTAAATACAAGAAATTTTGTTCCGTTTGGCCATGCAGTGGCAGACGAGGATAAGGAATTACGGCTGAAGTTGCTATGCGCCACATTTATTAGGGGAATGAGAACAAGCTTTTTTTATGGTTTCGAGTATTGAACGGCCCCCTGTAGTTACGCTATTCGCATTGTGGGATGACTGGTTCTTTCGCTGTTGTAAAACGCTTTTTAAGTTTTAAATAACGCGATTGCTTTCCCCAAAAATAAGCCTGCCTAAGGCAAGTTGGACAACAAGTCGCAAGCACTGACGTAGCTCAATAATGGAATACCCAGCGGACCCGGATTTGAGTCCCACTGTGTCATTGGGGCAAGGTTTTTTTAATGTCGTGCGATGTGCATGGTTACGGACATCGGCGGCGGCGAACGACTGCGCGCGACCCGAAAAGTGATCTCGTGACAGCTTTCACTGTAAAAGAATGGCACGTAGAGGTGATTGACACAACGGCAACACTGTGCAGCTGTTTTGATGAACACCGCACCGTTTGGTTTATGACTAGCAACACATTTAGTATAACTATCAGTTAAAGCGCACGAAAAACAGACAGGAAGACAGGACAAGCGCATACTACATTTAGTACGCGAGTGAATATAGTTGTAATGCAACTGCACGACTCACGTTCAGCAAGGGGCCCCAGATGCCAGTGACGACGTCACTGATACGGCGGATGACTTTGCTGGAGACTGATGTTGCAGGGCGGAGCGCGTGCAACGTGCCTGCCACAAGCTGCACTTGTCGCCCCGTCGATCCCAGACGGGATTCTTTGCGTCACCTTCTCGAAAACCAAGGGATACGCGCCCAATCTGTGAAGACACGAGGAAAGATGGAGCACTACCGAAAAGAAAAATGGTTCCCCAAATGCTAGAAAATAAACAACGCAAGCACTGCTAAATAAAATGCGCGAATACCACAAAACGCCACGAACACTACACAGTATGAAACAAACGATATTCAAAACCATTAAAAGAACATTTAAAATACCGTTAAAGAATTGAAGGGAAACCAAAACTTACACGAGACGTATTGCCAGGGCTTGCCCGAAGACATCTAGCGCTCACAGGACGTTTCGAACGGATGACAACCACTCCGTCATGAGAATGGTGAAATTGGAAGGTCCTCAGCAGCACAGTGCCCGAAGATTTTTATTTGCGCAGGAATTATGCCAAGCAGTGCGATGCAGGTAAAGGTGCACACCTGAAGAGAAGTAATAAAAGCATTGAAAAGAGCATTCAAAGAACACGCTGCACGAACTAAACTTACAAGTAATAAGGCAGGAATTGGAGTGAAGATCTCCACAGCTGGCAGGATGTCTTCGGTATGAAGCAGCAAAGGGCAGGAACGTCGTTTACTGCAGCTCCGATGGCCCAGAACGCGCATGAGCTCTGAAAATCGGGGATAGAAGGAATGATACAGCTATTTAGCAAATACACGGTAAAAAAACAAATTGCGAGGCACTTGAAGTGATTAGTTTCGATGACGCGCATACTGACCTTCATGAGCAGTTGCGCCGCTACCACGTAGGGTCAGCGTGTCCAGGACAGCCAGGCTACACCTGCGAGCTCAGCTGAGAACAATGCCATTATCGGTTCATTGCGAATTGAGTAAGGACGGGACGAGAACTGACGAGATACGGGAGACGGGGACAAGTGCAAATTGAAAACACTGAAATTCACCACGTACCATGGCCACAGCAGGGCTTAACGATGGGCTGCGGACCGAAGCCACGTTGTTTTGATGACAACTCCTGACAAAAGCTAAACCGAATGCCGTTTTCCCACGAAGCAACTGCCTCGCCCATTTAATTCACCACGTGGCCCCAACGCGACGCAACGCAACATCGAGACGAAACAGTGGCAACGGTACTCTGCGGCATTCGGTGCGGGCCCATCTCCCCGACGAAAACCGAAGAGTGCTGAAGCTGTGCGACGATTCAGACCCCGAGCGGCTCGACTGAAGCTTGGATGCCACTCTCGTTTCCGCCACGGAGAAGAACCCGCCGCGCTGTGACCGCCTTAGCCCACTCCCGTCTTTGAGCGGCGAAATTGACCGCAATTGAATTGACCTAGCAGTTATTGCGAGTGTCGCTAGATAGAAACCCCGCAAGCAATACCGAATGCAACCGTGCATTTAGACACCGCAGTCAAAAGCTTGGCGTGCCACCCTGACAGCTGTGGCCCACCTGAAGGGGTTAAAGATGCCGAAGCGCTCCACGACGAGTCGTTTCCTTTGTCCAGACGTTCCAGACTGGCAGCAGTCGCATGGATCATTTATGCTATGATGGGGAAAAAGTCTGTAGGAGTGAAAGTGAAAGCATTTATTAGGATGATAATCATCACTAATAATGCTTGAAAAAAGCTGAGCGAGAATACACCTAACTATAGAAAAAGCTGGTAAAAAACATGCCAGTCTAACAAACTAAATGTAGTAAGACCTACCTCGGTGCTTGGAGAGGGCCATCTAGGTTCACAGTCACGAGTCTGTAGTCCATTGTGAAGATTATAATCTGTATGGAACGTGAAAGTGAAATTAGTCTCGAAATCCTGATGAATGTTATAAATGAATAAGCCAGAGCAATGTCATGGGAGTGAACCTGACTTGATCTGAGAGCCACAGGCAGTGGTAGCCTGACTGGCCGAAACAGCGAAGAGTAAATGGAAACGCGATCGAACTCAACGGAATAAGGAAGTTTCGAAAATGCATATTATAAAATTATAGGTGCGACATTAAGGCGGCGTAAGCAAGACATGAAGACATTCCAATAACCCCAGTGCTAAAATAGCTGCACAAAACGCGTCACATAAGACAACTTTTGAAGCTATAAACAAACCCTGCATGAATAGTTACGTGAAAAAAAAATTGGAAGCCCGACAGTGCCGTCCAATCACTGCATATTTCAGAACGTATAGGACATGCTTTTAGTTGGTAGCGTGTCCATAAGGTAAAGGAGCATGACAAACATGAATTTGTTGCACTGAAGTGAGCACCCCCCACAAAACTAACAGGTGTTGTCGTCGTGGTGGTGACGCCGGAACTAAAGCATGACTGCGCATGACAGTGGCGTCATAAGTTTAAAAGAAAATAGCTCTATAGATTGAATGTAGTGATGCAACACTATGTTAGCAAAAGGCGAAAAATCGCTTGTGAAGCCCAAAACGATAGTCTTAAAGCCACACAACAGCGTGGATACAAAATGGAGAAGGTAAAGAAAGCTGTAGAAAGAGTACAATGTAGTGGCTGACGTAGACTACACCTCGAAAGTCTTTTTTAATTTGTAAGCATTGGAACTATAGAACGTTGATAAGCAGCTAGAGCAAAGAATTAAATTAGTTTCAATAAATTGCAATTCGTTGCAACTATAACCACAAATACCCATGTGCATTGAACACACGAGAAAAGGAGTGGCGGGTGTAATCAACGGCACACTGCAGCTGTTCTGATAAGCATCGACGAAGAGACTGCTGCATGAACACTCTACGGTTTTGTGTATGACCAGTAACGCATGTATGCGATTGCATATTCGTAATGCAACTGAGTGACTCACGTTCGGTATTGAAGGGGCCCCGGCTGCCAGTAACGATGTCACGGATACGGCGGATGACTTCGCCGGAGACCAATGTTGCAAAACGGCATGGGCACAACGTGCGTGACAGATGCTGCACTTGTCGCCACGTAGATCTCGGGCGGGAACCGTTACATCGCCTTGTCGAACGTCAAGGGAAACGCGTTTAACCTGTGAAGACACGAAAGAAGTTTGACTTTTAGAGAAAAAAGCTAAACGCCACGAAAAAGAGCCCCAACAAACGCCACGAAAAAAAAAAAGAGCCCCAACAAACGCCACGAAAAAAAAAAGAGCCCCAACAAACGCCACCAAAAAAAAAAGAGCCCCAACAAACGCCACCAAAAAAAAAGAGCCCCAACAAACGCCACAAAAAAAAGAGCCCCAACAAACGCCACAAAAAAAAAGAGCCCCAACAAACGCCACAAAAAAAAAGAGCCCCAACAAACGCCACAAAAAAAAAGAGCCCCAACAAACGCCACAAAAAAAAAGAGCCCCCAACAAACGCCACAAAAAAAAAGAGCCCCAACAAACGCCACAAAAAAAGCCCAACAACGCCACAAAAAAGAGCCCCAACAAACGCCACAAAAAAAAAGAGCCCCAACAAACGCCACAAAAAAAAAGAGCCCCAACAAACGCCACAAAAAAAAGAGCCCCAACAAACGCCACAAAAAAAAAGAGCCCCAACAAACGCCACAAAAAAAAAGAGCCCCAACAAACGCCACAAAAAAAAAAGAGCCCCAACAAACGCCACAAAAAAAAAGAGCCCCAACAAACGCCACAAAAAAAAAAGAGCCCCAACAAACGCCACAAAAAAAAAGAGCCCCAACAAACGCCACAAAAAAAAAGAGCCCCAACAAACGCCAACAAAAAAAAAGAGCCCCAACAAACGCCACAAAAAAAAAGAGCCCCAACAAACGCCCAAAAAAAAGAGCCCCAACAACGCCACAAAAAAAAAGAGCCCCAACAAACGCCACAAAAAAAAGAGCCCCAACAACGCCACAAAAAAAAGAGCCCCAACAAAACGCCACAAAAAAAAAGAGCCCCAACAAACGCCACAAAAAAAAAGAGCCCCAACAAACGCCACAAAAAAAGAGCCCCAACAAACGCCACAAAAAAAGAGCCCCAACAAACGCCACAAAAAAAAGAGCCCCAACAAACGCACAAAAAAAAAGAGCCCCAACAAACGCCACAAAAAAAAGAGCCCCAACAACGCCACAAAAAAAAAGAGCCCCAACAAACGCCACAAAACAAAAAAAAAGAGCCCCAACAAACGCCACAAAAAAAAGAGCCCCAACAAACGCCACAAAAAAAAAAGAGCCCCAACAAACGCCACAAAAAAAAAGAGCCCCAACAAACGCCACAAAAAAAAAGCCGCAACAAACGCCACAAAAAAAGCCGCAACAAACGCTACAGAAAAAACGCAAGCCCTCCAGAATGAACAACGCAATCACTGCAAAATGAAAAAGAAACTGCGAAAACTACAGTAAATAGCCGTTTTAATATAACCACCAAAAGAACCTTTAAACCTCTGAAAGAATTGAGAGAAACCTAAGCTTACATGTGATGTATGCCAAGGCTTGCGCAAAGACCTTGCGTCTTCAGCAGCATATCTTCAGCAGTACAGCGAAAGATGTCAACCTGAAGAGAAGTAATAAAAGCATTGAGACTTGCGAAGAGTTCAAAGTACATGCTGCATGAATTAAACTTACAAGTTATAAAGAAGGAATGGACTGGAGTGAAGCTGTTCACAGCTGGCAGGGTGCCAACGGCATGACGCTGGCAAAGAACAGGAACGTGGTTTGCTGCGGCTCGGCCGGCCCAGAACGCTTATCAGCTCTGAAAATAGGGAAGAGAAAGAAATATGCAACTGTTTAGCAAGTACACGGTAAAAAAAAAAAATTGCGAGGCACTTGAAGAGAATAGGTCCCATGACGCGTACGCTCACCATTATGAGCAGTTGCGCCGCAACCACGTATGGTCAGCGTGTCCAGTTCAGCCAGGCTACACCTGCGAGCTCAGCTGAGAACAGTGTCATTATCGGTTCATTGCGAATTGAGTAAGGACGGGACGAGAACTGACGAGATACGGGAGACGGGGACGAGTGCAAAATGAAAACACGGAAATTCACCACGTACCATGGCCACAGCAGGGCTTAACGATGGGCTGCGGACCGAAGCCACGTTGTTTCGATGAAAACTGACAAAAGCTAAACCGAATGCCGTTTTCCACGAAGCGACTGCCTCGTCCATTCAATTTTCCACGTGGCCCCGACGCGACGCAACGCAAAACCGAGACGAAACAGTGGCAACGGTACTCTGCGGCATTCGGTGCGGGCCCATCTCCCCGACGAAAACTGAAGAGTGCTGAAGCTGTGCGACGATTCAGACCCCGAGCGGCTCGACTGAAGCTTGGATGCCACTCTCGTTTCCGCCACGGAGAAGAACCCGCCGCGCTGTGACCGCCTTTGCCCACTCCCGTATTTGAGCAGCGTAATTGACCGCAATTGAATTTACCTAGCAGTTACTGCGAGTGTCGCTAGATAGAAACCCCGCAAGCAATACCGAATGCCACCGTGCATTCAGACACCGCAGTCAAAAGCTTGGCGTGCCACCCTGACAGCTGTGGCCCACCTGAAGGGGTTAAAGATGCCGAAGCTTTCAGCGAAGGAATGTCCCCTGGTCCATGCGTTCCAAACGACAGGGAGCACTCTCACGGAGCATTTAGCCTACGGTGGTGAATTCTGTTGGGGGGAAAGTGAACGCTATAATTAGCTTGTAAACTTTCGCGAATGTCGCTGAATTAAAGCTGAACGAGAAACTACACACAACTACGGGACATGTAGGCTTAAGGTAGCCGTAATATGGCTTACCTTGGTGCGTGAAGACAGCGGACGAGAGCCACGTGCTCGAACAACACGCACGCTTGGCGCACTAGGCCTGGAAGACGTACCAACAGCGTGTAAGCCGACGCCGCAGTGTGACTTCCACTTTTCTAGCAGGAGGTGGCGCTGTCGTCAGTGGCCGCCAGCGTCGCCTGGCGGTAACGTTCTAGACGTGTTGTCCACTAGCGCCAGTGGCGTGAATCCGGCGTACGTAACCTTATCAAGGTGGCCGTTCCGGTATGGTGGCTAGATTCTTCTAGCCACCATAGTTCCGGTACGCATGCTCTTGCCAACGATGCGAACCGCATCTCTTCTTAAAAGATCGCGAGAAGAGCAGGCCGACGCTACGAGAGGGACATGCCGTGTGTGCTTTCGTGGCGCTCGTAACCTACAGTTCTCGAATCCAGAGGCCATGGCTCCGGCTTTGGCTGGCCTTTCAATCGAGTGCGATAAGCCCGAGTCATGTCACGTGTTGCGGTGGCTGCATTTCACTTATCAGCGGCACGAACACACAAGTACAAACGAACGAACAGGTGGCTCGATTGCGACGATCGATTCGACGCCGACGGGGTTCACCACGAGGCGTGATATCGTCAGCATCGGCGTGAAGAATCGTCAAAAAAAAAAGCAAGAGCAAACGTTTCTTTTTTTTTTGTAAAGAAAGGTATAATGAGCACTGTGTAATAATCGTCCGGCCCGATAATTTTCTCTGTCTACCACATGTCGGTGGTGTTTTTGGGCCGTAAAGATGTTAGCGCTTCTGGATATTGTACAAAGCGCACCACAAGCGTCACTGCTTTTGTTTCCAGCCGTATTTAACGCACTTGCAGCGTACCTTCTCGATGTGGTTCGAAAGTCGCCGGCATTCGTCCGCACTCACGAAAATATACTGGCCGATTCTCGAGGTACGGTGAAAATATCGTGCTGTGCCGTAAGAATATTAATATCTGGGGTTTGACGTCCCAAAACCGCGATATGATTATGAGACGCCAAAAAACAAATGGCACCATATTCACGGGGTGAATGATGGAGAGTGGGGCGAAGCATCCGTACGTCCATTCTTTTTTGCTTTCGTCCGTCCATGCGTCCGGCTGTGTCACCGTCCATGCGTCCACCCGCCCGTCCGTGTGCGCGTCTGTTCGTGCGTCCGCACGTCCATCCGTGCGTATGCTCCTGCGTTCGTCCATGCATCCGCCCCTGCGTCCATCCATGCGTCCGTCCGTCCGTGCAGCCATCCATGCGTCCGTCCATGCATCTGTCTTGATGTCGGTTCGTTCATCTAGTCAACACTTCAAGTACCACCATCTCTCATCTTTTCATCTGATATTCTGCATATATAAGCACCGCCATCCAGCGGACATTCCAAGGACTAAACGAAAGGTGGCACACGCACACTTTCTTACGGCTTGCGCTTCGTGTCCGCTTCCCACCTTTAACCACCTCGTGTTCATGGTATATACTAGTTCACTGTATTCATGGCACTGCGGCCAAACGCTCGCTAAACCTTTCTAAAACCAAGGAGCTTACGCCCAGCGATTATAACATAGCAACCCTTTCTTGTCAAATAGTGCTCAATGTACATGCCAATGGCTGCTAAGGGGGATTATGAGACGGGAGAATTTGGCTTTTAGTTAACGCACACGCTGCGAACTTTTATCGTTCAACAACGCACAGGAGAAATCTGCCACCGGCACCACCTTCCAGGTCAAAGCGTAAGACATGTTACGTACGACGACGAGGTACGAACGGGTGCCGCTCTAAGGAAGCTTTGCCCCTAAAAGTTGGGCTACAGAAATTTACACCTTCTGGTGTTCTTTCACGTGCACTGACATCGCACAGTACACAGGCCTCCAGCATTCTGCCTACACCGCACCCGCGACCTTCAGGCATGGAGGAAGGAGTTTTTCCCTTCCTCCGTGCCTCCAGGTCACCAATCGAGCGCTGCAAGCACTACACTACTGCGATAAGCCCATGCCATGGGGAAAAAAAATTCTCAATCAAGGCCACGTTGAACCGAACCACGGCCCGGAATCGACTTTTTTTTCTTTTTTATCAATAAATTTGTGAAATATGTAGCTCTAAAAGACCATAGTGTGCATGCTTGGCTACTTTTTAATTTCACGTGTTGAGAGGCTGAAGAAAAAGAGAAGTCCGTTCTCATCCGCCACTTCAAGAGATGATGAAGTGATCTTCCACATTTTAACACCAAAATATAAACATCGCCTGATGAAGATGCATGCGCAATTGGTCTTTGGTTGTATTAATTTAAAAAGAAAGAAAGGAAAATACATTTTAGGTTGCTCTTGGAACGCGGCACGTCGTACAACTCGTCCAACATCATGGTGCTTTCAATAAAGTGATTGGTTAGAATCGTATGCAGCACCTTGAGATAGGGTCAAGACATTCCGACAATTGAGATGATTCAGATGATCTTGCTATCGTTTGACCACAATTCTAGACAAATAGCCTAAACAACTTGCCTAAACAGGCGTAACTGCCCCTGCTGAAGGAACTATTGTCAGTTACAGTTTAAAAGTAAGTGTGAATTCCAGCCACAGTCGCGGCTGTCCTTCCCAAATAATATTTACATAGATGCCCCATTTCAGTTCATTTGCTTGTTGCTGTGACGTCAAACACTTTTTTTTTTCGCCCCGCCGCGGTGGTCTAGTGGCTAAGGTACTCGGCTGCTGACCTGCAAGTCGCGGGTTCGATTCCCGGCTGCGGCGGCTGCATTTCCGATGGAGGCGGAAATGTTGTAGGCCCGTGTACTCAGATTTGGGTGCACGTTAAAGAACCCCAGGTGGTCAAAATTTCCGGAGTCCTCCACTACGGCGTCTCTCATAATCAAATGGTGGTTTTGGGACGTTAAACCCCACAAATCAATCAATCAAACACTTTTCGCGAATTACATGTGGGCGATTTTACTCCACTGACGCGTGTTGATGTCGCGGATTCACGACAGAAAACTTGAACTTTCTGGCAACTTTATGAATATGCCATGAATCCCAGCAGTAAATTGAGGCGTCAATTTTCGGAAAAACGCAATATTTTTTTTTTTTTTGAACGCAACAGCGTTACAGAGCTCGTTCCGCCGGTATTCTCGCATCGGCATCTTTCGTTGCGAGCCAAAAATGAGCGTTGTCCGTGACCGCAAAACTGAGAAACATCTAAATAAAATAAAAATTCGGCAGATCCCACGTGAAGCGAATAGCTTCGAGCCCTATGCATCGGCTGATCGGCAGCGGCAACTGTCCGAAAGAAAAGGGAAAGGGTGGCTCTTACGCCTGCCTTCCCTCTCGCCTCGATATCGTTGCTGCAAAACACAGCTTTTAGCGTGTCAGTAGCTGCTAGCGGTGATATGAGCTTACATCGACGCGCACAGCCACAACTAAATACCCATCAGGCTATCCAGCTGCAAATACATCGGCTGTGACGTAGCCTGTCATGATGCACATGCTATGCCTTTGATTACACCTATAGGTGTATTCGCTGACCATCTTTATACGCATCTTTCACTTTCACTTGATGTTTTTGGCACATTTCCTTCTCGTCTTAGCATCTTAGCATTGCTATAGTGGCCGATGGCATGCTAAGAGCAGCCGTTTCAGAGATCATGAGGGAGTGCCGCCAGCAGACCCACTCGAGCCTTTTCACGGCCGAGCAAGGAAGATTCTGACAAACCGCGGAATGACGTACCCATGCTCACTTCTACTCATTAGTCAACACATTTTATGGTTTAATAGCCGCCTCAGGTGGGCCATGGAAACCCAAGTTTGGCATCAAATTGTTAGGGGTGAAGCTCCTTAAGTCGTGGGTTTGCCCCTCCTAGCTCGTCGTGGTTCGTGACCGCCATGTTCGATGACTCACTCAGCAGGTGCGGACAGACAGACAGACAGACACTGCTGACCCACAGGTCGCGGTATCGAATCCCGGCTGTGGCGGCTACATTTCTGATGGAGGCGGAAATGTTGTAGGCCTGTGTGCTCAGATATGGGTGCACGTTAAAAAAACCCCAGGTGGTCGAAATTACCGGAGCCCTTCACTTTGGCGTCTCTCATAACCATATGGTTGTTTTGGTTAAACCACACATACCAATCAATCAGATAGACAGACATATGGATGGATAGACGGAAGCAAGGACGGACGGACAGAAGCCCGGGCGGACGCTTCGCCCCACTCCTCATCATTCACTCCGTGGATATGCCACGATTCTTTTTCAAAGACAGAATTTATTGATTTGTGCAATTCTTCACATCGGCTCTACATCGAGTCCCGCTGAGGACGTTCAATGCGTTACCACAAAAATCGGTAAAGTCTGACTACAAAGTGTTGCATTTCTGCATTTGTTTTTCTCGAAGGTATGTACATTCATGTGGTTTTGATGTACTGTATATGTATTTCCTTTGTGGAAGTAAGGGTGGGTAGCCTAGTGGTAAAGACACTCGCTTTCGGAGCATGAGGGGTACGGGTTCAAAACCCAGCGTAGGGAAGAAAAACTTTGGTTGCTTTATTTACGCCGATGACGTTATCGGTTCTGACCATCCCCTCGTGACGCTGAAAGCAGTGCCATAGCTCAGCTGCAAGGCCCTTCGGGAGTGTCCGCTCTTTACGTAAGCATGTTTCTAACAGTCTGATGAAGAGTATCCTCTTTTACCCTCGAGTTTAGGCAGCGCCATCCAAGTATCATGTTATCTCTGTATTGAGGCTATTTTCCACGCGCTCGTGGGTTCGAGCTCATATTGCTCACGATAGTACCTTGGGAATAAATGTTCTGTGAAGCATGCGCCAACCACTATACCAAATATAGCCAACCACTATACATAGCCTTCATAGATTACGAGAACGCGTTTGATTCAGTAGAAATATCATCTGTCATGCAGACATTGCGGAATCAGGACGTCGATGAAGTATATATAAACATCCTGGAAGAAATATACAGGGGATCAACTGCTACGATAGTGCTTCATAAACAAAGCAGCAGAATACCAATCAAGAAGAGTGTAAGACAGGAGGACACAATCTCTCCAATGCTATTTACCACGTGCTTACAGGAGGTTTTCAGAAACCTAG